AGCCCCCCCCCCCCCCCAGTATTTAAAAGGCGGGGGACCTCCCCCCCATTTTTGTGTGCCGTAAAATGTCCCATTTTGTCACCACGCATCACTTTATTTTAGAAGTTTTACTTCAAGCCCACTCCCTCGAGAAGGGGGGGTCAGGGGGGGCCCAATCCCCCGGGGCCCCGGGGATTTTTGGCGGCCCCCCCCCCCAAGGGGAAAAGAGAGAGAGAGAGAGAAGAGAGAGAGAGAGAGAGAGAGAGAGAGAGAGAGAGAGAGAGAGAGAGAGAGAGAGAGAGAGAGAGAGAGAGCGTATGTTCATATGTAATAGATAATAATATGCTACAGTAAAGTGATTATATATGCCTATGTACATTGTATTTGTTGAGTTATTAAATTGCAGGTGAGGGGGGGGGGGGGGGAGGAGGAGGGGCCCGAAGGTGATTGCTGCCCCAGGGCCCGACCAGGCTTTCGACGGTCCTGCTCGAGTGTAAGTGTTAATGACTTTTGTTTAATAAAAAACCCAGTAAAAGTTGCCCAAAAGGTGGAATCCTCTGCTGAGCTTCAGTAGCCGAGTAGTTGGTGAGCTGATGCTCATGGTAATACTGACGAGCAATGTCAGATGACACGAGATAAAAGGTGGATGGTAGCTTGAGTTTATCTTTGAGCAAGACAAGCTTTCACAAGTAAAGGAAGCAGGGGTTGCACTGTTGTCCGTCAATAATGTTCGTATTCCATCGTGGTACATGTACTGAGAAGGCCCTTTGTGGGTGTTCTTTGACTTTCTGTCCCGTCTCACACTTAGCTAGGGTCACTGACGTCGAAAACAAACACCCATGAGGGTGATAACGACTGTTTTACTAGTTCCAGATCTATATACAGTGTACTCTACAGAATAATGTTGGGTTTCAAAACAAATCCATTGTATAACAGGGCTAGATCTAGAGGCAGTTCTAAGGACAGTCCACAGGCCTACGTGGCGTCGGTGTCCTTGTGGTTAGGCTTTCGGACTCGCAACCGTAAGGTCGTGGATTCGAATCCTGTCAGGGGTCAGACGTTGGGTCCTTGGGAATGGCACTCTGCATACATTTTCCTAACTTCGCCCTGGTGGAAATGGGTACCCGCTATAGACAGTGAACGATCTTGTCAGTTTGATAGTGTTTGAGTGCGTGAAATCCGCAGCTTGCATTATATGCTTTCGCGGAAGCCGAGAATGTTTCCGAATGTTCTCAGAGGGTCTGCTGGGGTAATAATCGTTGAAAGAGCATGCTCCAGAGCATGGATATGCGCTATATAAATGCAATTATTATTATTATTATTATTATTTTTATTATTATTATTATTATTATTATTATTATTATTATTATTATTATTATTATTATTATTATTATTACGTGTGAGTGCCAGTTGAGGCTGGTGCGGCACAGACTGTTCCCATCAAAGTCACAGCGGTAACCGCCCAGGAAGGCCGGTATCTCGTGTTTCTCAATTCTTTTCAAAAGATGTCTTGGGAAAAAAAAATAGAATTGTGTAGTGTAATTTTTAATTAAATTTTTATTAATTAATTTAAAACAATTTTTTTTTTTTTGGGGGTGGGGGGGGGAGAAAACAGTATTAACATCGACACGGTAACCCCTACCCTCTCGAAATTATATATATATTATATTTATATTTATATATAGAGATATATACATTTATATCTATATATATATACATGTATATAGTAAAGAAAACAGAATGCATGGTAATCCCCCCCCCCCCCAAAAAAAGCAGCAAATCCTAGGAGTAATCTCATTAGCAAAGGTGAAATGATCAAATAAGTCCAACAGTTTAAATATCTAGAATGTATGATAACATCTGATGCCAAATGTTCCACAGAAATAAAACGGAGAATTACAATTGCCAAGGCTAGTTTCAATAAAATGAGCCCAATTCTGAAAAATAGAAACATCTCAATGATTACCAAAATGAAAGTCCTGAAGTGCTATGTATAGTCGACCCTTCAATATGGTTTTGAATGCTGGACAATCACTAAAGACATTGCAAATAAAATATAAGCAACAAATATATGGTTTCTTAGGAGACTGCTAAGAGTATCGTGGAAGGAAAAGAAATCAAATGAGGTAGTGCTTGATGAAGCCCACGTGGGACGCTCAATGTTAAAAACAATCACGAAACGACAAATGCAGTTTGTTTGTTTTTTGGACACCCGAATAGACATAAGGGTCTTGAACATCTAGCTCTCACTGGCAAAATTGAAGGCAAACGAGGCAAGGGTAGGCCCAGAGCAACCTACTTAGGGAACCTAAACAAATGGGTAACTGGGAAAGACGAGGGAAACGTAGCTTTTTTAAGAGCATCCGAGCAAAGGAATGAATGGAGAACCATGATCGCCAAAGTCTGTCGCAGATCTGGCACTGTAAGATGATGATAAATACATAATAATACATAGAATTGAAATATATGCAAAAAAGTAAATGAAATTAAGTAAAAGAAAACAACTATAACACACAAAAAACAGTAGCAAAAACACTCTCCTCCTCCTCCTCCCTCTCCTGCCTCTTCTACCTCCTCCTCCTCCTCCTCCTCCTCCTCCTCCTCCTTCTTCCTCTTCTTCTTCTTCTTCTTCTTGTTCTTCTTCTTCTCATCCTCCTCCTCCGCCAGCTGCTACGGGACCGGAGGGATTTAGGAAAAAATTTCCGTGCTTAAAGGATAGGAGGATTCCTCGTAATGGATGAAGTAAAGAGCCAGTGCGGTAAAGTGCGTTACGTTTAAAAATGGAGACGGAAAGATGGTAAATAAATGAGTGGAATAAGAGCCGCTGGATCAAACGATCTCGACC